CAAACATATCTAAATATTGACATTGCGTGAATGCATGTTTTCTTTTCGATCGGCAAGATTTATATTTCTCTGTTAACTTAAAAGTGAACTAGTCGTTTAAAACATGTATCACCGTATTTTAAAACATGTCAATGACAGAACATTTTTCTTCTTCTTTATTTGCTATATTTAGCTCATTTAGCTCGAGTTATTATGATTGCTCCGGCAACGTCGCAATTATCATGCAAAAGACACTAAATCTTATGCTGCCAATTATTCAAAGATTTTAATAAGAGAGTCAACATGAAACTTGAGATTATTAAACATTGCGGTTATTATATTATTTTTGAAATAATATTATTAATACTTTCAAATTTGGACCATTATTTTATCATTTTAAGAGTTATCAAGTTATCTGGATGCACGTACATACCTTTGTACTCATCTTCACACAACTCTTTATAAATAAAATTGTTCTTTATATGTTATTAAACCTAGTCCCATACAGGGCATGCATAACTGATAAAAGAGCGAATTAAACACGTGAAATGTAAAAAGGATATAAATAAGGTCACAATTCTATATCATTAACATTATAGGCTTGATAGATTGCATATATACAATACAAATTATCTCAAGTTAAAATATTTCATAAAGAATTTAAACTTCTGTACTATCACTAACTAGCAGTGACTATATCATAAAAAAATGTTCTGACCATCCTTTCCTAAATAGATCTATATTAAACCACGCTGTGTACAACGCTCATGTATACAACAAATCGTCAGTTAACACAATTACATCCGCAGATACAAGATGTTTCAAGATTTATTTTCAATATATGCAAAAGTCCCACAATAGCGGGAAACATAAGCAAACTTGCGACATACATAAATGCATACATACATACATACATACATAGAATAACGTAACATAATGTAGTAGAAAACGGCTATTGAGATTTCCAAAAACAGAGCCTAACACATTCATATTTATTTAAGCTATAAAGTTGAGCTGTGTGTATATATATATGTAAGCGAAAAGTAATAAATATAAAAAAACTCAATCATCAAAAACACAAAAGGGTCATAACTTATCTTTTGCATATTGTAATTTAAGACATGATTTAAAGTTGTATAGTGAAACACATGTAGTTCTAATAAAATGTTGTATTATTTCCATACAAAAAATACTAAGATTCTTTAGTTTATATGTATTTTCCTATGTGAGCAGGCTTACAAATTTAAACATACTAAGCCTATTCATGTAAAAGTTATCTATGTATATTTTCTATCATTTTCAAAGTCTGGACATAAAAAAAGACAATGAAAATTATCGCCAAGATATATATCGTTTTACATATATTACATTTATGGTCTTGAGTAGGTATATTTCTGCTACCGTCCTATTTCAATTGAAAGGCGATGATTTCTTGTTCAAAAAAAAGTAATAATTTCTTAGCTAAATTGCCTGGTAGTTTATCTATGTAACAGCTTCTCGAAAATCCTTTTTGATATATTTGTTAAGAAATGATAGAATTTGTATTAATTTGTGATATGAACAAAAGTAGAAATGAATACCACTTTCTGTTAGTATGTCCTAAGTATAGAGATCTCAGAAGGGAATGTTTACGCAAGTTATTATTGTGTTTGGCCTACTATGAATAAATTCAAATATTTAATGAATACAAATTGTGCTCAGTTGCTGAATAAAACAGCTAAGTTCATTTATTTGGCAAGTAATAAACGTGAGTCATTACACTGACATAACATTTCACTATACCTGTATTTTTTAACGACGAGTGTCGTTTAACTTCATAGGATACAATTTAAGTATAGTTTATAAAAACTAAAGTTGACTAAGTTTTTCTGATCAAAATGAATTCTAACAAACATGATATCGGTTAAAAAAATTTTACATCAAATAATCATAATAAAATACGTGCTCTGAAATAAAATATAATGTATGTAATTTTTAATAATAGACTAACATACATGTGCGTTTATTTAAAGGGTATTTTATTTAAAGGGTTATAAAGCTATAATCTTTACAAACATGTATCATTTATAAGACTATTTTCTTTCATACAAACATTTTGGAAAGTATTCTCCTTTTTTCAGATATAACATTACTTGTTTGTAGCGGATATATAGCTTTATACACTTTATCAAAAATTATTGTCATGAATTATGCGTAATGTATATAGTTTGTTAAATGTTAACTGAAACTGGTGTTTGGGTAACAGTAACGAAGCTGATAAAATGGTCATTCTAGCAAATTGTCTGACAAGTGATAATCAGACGTCAATTACTCTTGTAGCTATCTAAATATAAACATGTACTTGATTATCATGTAATGGTAACGCTTTTTATTTTGTTTCGGAAAAGAGGTACCTGTACGTGTTACGTTGCTACTTAGCTCCTTCTGATATGCTATTTATCGTATAGCATGTCTTTGTAAGGGAACATAAGGTTCAAAAGCGATTGAAATATTACTATATATCATTTTCCAATATACCCTTCACTAGTTCTCACAATGATTGTATATTATGTATTTATATGTCTCATATTTATGTTCTATGCACTTATCTAGTGGGTTTCTTTTTTGTACTTTGAAAAGAAATTAAAGGATAAAAGCTTTGTATGTTTGGTAAGAGATTTAAAAAGATTGGTTTATTAAATCTATTTACTAATTAATTTATAATTATATCATTCTCGTTATGTACATACTTTTCTCATTATGTGTTTATTGAACCGCCGAACATGGCGATGGACATTGTAAAATGTTTTTGCCAATAAATATTTTGAATCTTGAATCTTGTATCAGAAGTGTTATTTTGTTCAGAACGCCAATTTTGCGAGTAAATATCTTTTAACTTTTGAAATGTTGTTTTTATCAACCACTTACTATTGCTAGAACTTTGTACCAAATCCCAGAAAAACCAGTTTCACATAAATATTGTTTTACATTTTCTATCCACAATGATTTAACTTTATTATATATATGTAATTTACGTAAGAAGATATATACCTTTAAAGATAATTTTGTTGGTTCAACACTATTGATATTTTCAACAAGTCTTGCCCAAAATATAATTACTCTCTGTTTGATGTGCACACTGAGTGGTAGAGGACCTGTTTCACCATATATCATATAAGACAGGGTTATCTTTTTAAATTTAAATATATATTTGAGAAATACAGCTGAATTTTCTCTAAAACATTAACATTTCCATATCCCCAAATTTCGCTTCCGTACAGTAAAATAAGCTTGATAGTTTTTTTCAAATAATCTAAATTGTAGGTCAAATGGTAAAGTCTAAGTTTAAATTTCCCCCAGTAATGTAAATTGTGCCTTAAGTTATTAGCTTGCTCAGCTATTTGTATTTTTGATTTGTAAAACGAACAACTTTTATTGAAAAATATCCCTAAATATTTATATTCATTTACAATTTCCAAGAAATGTTGGCCAATTTTAAAGACATATTTTATTTTGGACGTCCTTTACTAAATATCATAACTTTGGTTTTATTTACAATTATATTTTATTTCCACGTTTCACAATATATTTTAAACAGATCTAAAGCCTTTTGAAGATCAATTTCATTTTCACTGAAGATCACTGTATCGTCGGCATTAAGCAAAATAAAAAGTTTAAGATAGACATGTACGCCTTCAATGAAGTTCGAAATATTGACAAGCTCATGTGTAAAAAACTATTTCTAATTAATGCAAGGAAAGCTGTGAAATGTTTATGCCACTATCGAAATTTTGAATTTTTTTTTCTACCATAGAATTATTCATAGATCGGTCAACGATAGGGCTCTATGTATGAGAAATACAAAAGTGTTACAATTTTATTTTGATCGTATTACTGTTCAAAGTATATAAAACATTTTGTCCTGCCATCCTAGGAAAACCCACTGAATGGCTATTGGATTTAGGCAATAGTTGGATAACACAGGTCATTAAAGACGATAAAATGCAGAAGATATAAAAAGTCTGTATTGACAATACATTAAATTTTTATTTTTCTTCCTAAAGATAATTTTACTACATTTGTATTATTATTATTTGTATACAATTTGAATGGTCATCTTTGATACAAACAAGAAAATAGTTTCTTGTAAAAGTTGCCGGAAAGTTTTATCTGGTATGACATAATTTACCGTTATGTGTAAGAAAATTCTAATTGATGTAATGACATAAATTTTTATGGAAAAATTGTTATATTAAGGTAAAGAATTTTAAGTATAATGGAATATGGTAAAATATGCAAGAAAAATATCTGACGTATGTTTGTGGTTCGGATCGGAATATCAGCCCCTCGGGAACCTGACCATGGGCCTAAACTCGACAAGGCTCTTCATTCCCCCTCGAACGGATATTCCGATCCAAACCCCAATTACATATAACAGATAAATTTTTTACGGTATTTCTTTTGAGTAGCGGGTAGTACGTTCGCTTTGATAGTGTATCATATGATATAGTTTTAAACAATAAAGACAGTCACACCACATTACTTTTTTCCAGAATATTCAAATAAAGATATTCCTCTGTTAAAAAAACTTTTTCAAAAATGTTAAACTCTGTAATTGTATCACCACCAAGATACAAGGACTTTCTAATTTAACACAGAAAATTCGACCTGGCATTAGGAAAAATTCCAAACCCTTTAACACATACTCAATATTAGAATACAATCATTTAAAACATATATTTAAGAAGCAATATTCTTTTAAACTTTACGCACTTGAAAGTGCCCTCGTGTGCATGAATGTAGCTAATTAATAAGAATAATGATTAATAAGTAATAAATAACAAATACAAATAAAGCAGAGACTCATATTTTAGATTACTTCATATAGTTGTTGACCTATATACGTCTCTAATATAGTTGTATTACGGAAACAAATACATAAACGAATACCATAACATCCGAAATCAGATATCATCTACCTATGATAATATTATACATATTGTCATTGAGATGAACAAATAATGTGTAGTTATTTTAGGTAGTGTACTTATTATCTTGTTGTGGGACATACCAAAAAGAGACAATGTAATCAAGTATAGGTTGGTTAATGAAGAAAATATTTGATTACATAGTATAAGAAAAGCAGATAATTATCTACACATTTGATTTATAAAAGTTCTTTATTAACTGAACGTCTTCCAAATCATTCTGCATTCTTTTGTACCTAATTAATTGTTCCAAAGATACAAATTTTATACCGTAGCAATATCCAAAATTATGGGGATCATAAAATAAGGCCCATTTATTAGTTGTTACATTTGAGCCAAATTGATCTTTTCGATCTCCTTTTGATAGGGATTTGTCTTTGAAAGCGTGTGCTTGGAAAACTATTTTGCGCTCTTTCCCAAGTAAAGCTAATTCATTTATAATTTCACGTAAAAATAATAGGTGTATGTCTGTTCGTTTACGTATACCATATATAGCAAGCACAGTTCCAGAGTTAACCATGACATCATCCCTCCCAATAAATATCCCTGGTAACGCTTTTATTGGTTTGTTTATATAACGTCTTGCCATTTCATTCGCGATCAGGTAACACTCTGACGCGTTTTTAGCATAATTCATAAATTGTATAGAATTTGAATTAAGAATCATTTCTGCTAATATCAAGTTTCTTTCAATAGTTTCTGGAATATGGACTGTAGATGTCTGATCTGTGTCGTTGTACAGTTTTCGGATCCGTGTTTTACATTCATCAAGATGTTTAATACCTTTTGTAAAAATAAAAAGGAACTTTCCAATGTATGTTGAATTAAATTTCGACATAATTTTTTTCAATTTTGTGTAAGTGAAAGGTTGTTTTCCATACATGTGGGTTACTAATTGTTGCATTCCGTTTCTTGTAAAGTTGACTTGTACTTCATAAAAAATGCTATTATCTTTTGAGCATTGCATCTCTACAATCTCTCTCATCGCTTCATCTTTATTGTAATTATTGGACAATACAGAAACAATAAACACAAAACTTTTCAAATACGGCAGAGTCATCTGAATCTTCATCCATTCTAAAACAACAATATTTAGTCTCTCTTGTGACATTCCGCTCTTTCTGAAAAAATTATAGTCCCAATTAAAGGCATTCTGTGTGTACTGATGATGTTCAAAGCTGGCATTTTGTGATAGAACTACGGCTGCCGATATTCTATGAGCACCATTCATAAGGAAACCGGTGTTATCCAGTGGAATTCTTGATACACTAGAGTTAAATCCATTTTCTTTAATATCATCAATTGTTTTATGAAATGATGAAATGAAATCTGACTGGTTTAGTTTATTTTTGCACGGTATTTTACCATCAAACCATGTCTCCTTTAGGTTACTACAATATTCCTTAAAATGATTCCAAACCCGTAAGTGGTCTAAATACGCCTGCAGTATTTGCTGTGGTAATTCACTTTTATAAACATAGAAATATGCATAAACCATTTTGACAATAACATCAAATCGTCGTGACTGCAGATAGATAGAAGGATTTTCGCTTGAGTCATCCCTATTGTGTTTTGTAGGTGTTGTGTTATAAACGAGAGATACTTTAGTTAGAACAAAAACAAAGATTGTAGAAACAATACAAATGCATAGCAAATATCGTTTTGATGTTGTGACTAGTCCATAACGCGTCATCCTTTGTAATAACATTGTAATGAAACTGTTGATTTGGTTTCAGAGGATTTCACTGATAATTTTACTGATGTTTTCTTTATTATACAATTCTGCAAAATTCAGCACAACAATGGTTATTGGCAATATAAATCAGAAGCATCTATTTTATAAATCATAAATTGAATTTTTTTGCCGTGTCATTTAGGTAAAACGATTCAACCTACTTTTGAATTTAAATGCTCAGAATTCCAACAATGTTACATTGATTTAGTATTGATGATGATATTTGCTTCCTTGCCTGAAAATAGATCGTGAAACGTGTTTAGTGCGTTATGCATATAAATAAACAACTATTATATAGTATCTATATTATAATACCCCACGTTTTGAACCGCCGATTTCGTTATAATTGTGTCGCTTATGGTATTCTGTCCAACTTTTCATTCCGATAAAAAGCTTAAATTTGAAAATTCTTTTGGTTTAAACATATTTATTTTTTCAATATGTTACAATATTCATATCAAACACAAAATTTATACAAAAACATGATACAGTGGATTGAACTGGAAGCTCAAAGCTTATTGTAATTCTCTCCACTTCTAGCTAGACATCGGTACAGATTTTGGCGATACAGATGATTAAATAAATTGTTACATCCTAGATAAAATATGTTAACATGATTATAGGAAAATACGACATAGTTAGAACAAATCAATCAAAAATAAATTGAGAGAAAATCATAAAGAAGTGTTAAGAAGTTTAAATTAGGAGAGAAATCCGAGTAAAGAAGAAAAAATGAGAAAATTTAAAGATAAAAAGAAGTGTGAAGCTATAGAATTGGGCGAACTGCAGAATGACACATTCATAAAGATAATGGACCTTTTCAGATCAGTCAAAACGTTTAGACTTTTCAATATAAGTGTGAACAACTTTGAATATACCTTCATTCTCTCCAACTGATAAAGATGTGATTCCTGAAATAATGGTTTGAAGAGAAACAATACAATAAGTATTGATAACATTTATCAAGAAGGTCTGATATCATCATACTGCCTACAATGCAAGAAGAAGTGAGAGACTGTTTCGCGTAATCCACAGGTACAAAGAGGTGATGGGATTATATTTTTGGAAAATAGGTCATCTGCAAGTAAGCTACAATTTGTACGAATACAGACGTGAATAATTTGATATTTACGTTTTCCAAAGTAGAAGTATTGCGGTACAGTTTTTATTTGTTTAAAAAATTCTTTCTTAAAAGTTGAAACTGTTGCTGTCTTTTTAGAGATATAGGAAGTTATTGGTGTTCTCTCGATCCGGTTACGGAGGAGATAATTTTCGTTATAAACTAATGGCGGACGTAAATCTGACATATAAGATGGCGTTGGACTTCATTTTGTAGAAAAGGAGTAGCTTATGTTTCTGACGTCTGGATTCTAAACTGTCACAACCAACTTTATCAAGAAGCTTTTGCAAAGAGACTAGTTTAGTTGCACCTGTAACAATACGGACAGCCTCATACTGGACATTTTCAGCGGTTTTTTGCTCGCGTGTACAATTGTCAAAACTATATCACCATATTCTAATAATGGACGAATTCATGAAATGCATATAGTTTGTAGCGATTGACGTTCAAGAGTGAACTTAAACTTCCGCATTATATTTATGCGCTGATAAGCCTTTCCAAGTACAAAATCAATATGAGTATTCCATTTCAAATTATTTGCAAAAATAAGACCAAAATGTTTGTGTCTAGATACCTCCTGAATCTTAACATTGTTCATAAATACACGAGGAAGATTTGAGGTGTTTGGTTTACGAGAAATGATTAGAGATTCTGTTTTCTTAGGGTTGAATTTCACTAGCCACTTTGAGGCCAATCTTGATATTGTTTGTAAGTCAGCGTTCAAAGTCTCGGCTGCACATTCTGAATCTTCGGCTGTAATGATAAGACTGGTATCATCCGCGAACAGGCGTTTATTAGCTTTAATGTCGGCAACAATATCATTGATAAAAATGAGAAAAAGAAGAGGGCCTAAGATGGACCCTTGAGGTACACCTGCTCTGATGAAATTCCACCTTGATGTTGCACCTGGAACAACAACCCTTTGTTTTCTGTTCGACAGATAAGAGGTGAACCAATCCAAAAGATTTCCTTTAATTTCGAAACTTTTCAATTTATATAAGAGGCCTTTATGCCAACCCCTATCAAAAGCTTTGCTGATGTCGCAAAATACTGCTCGGACCTCTTTTCCAGAGTCAATTGCCTCAGTAAAAAATCGTACAGGTAAGTAAGCTGATTTACGGTTGAATCGCCGGGGACAAAACCTGACTGAAAAGGTCTTAAAAAGTTATGTGATAAAAGATGGTTATATATGTATTTAAAAACAATTCTTTCAAAAACCTTCCCTGTTGTACATAAAAGAGATACAGGACGGTAATTCCCAGGTAGAGATCGATCTCCGGATTTTAAAATTGGATAGACATTGGCTTTTTTCCACGCTTGAGGATATCTAGATGTACGAAGAGACTGATTGAATAGTTCTGAAAAAGGAATAGACAATTCTTTGGAAAGTTCTTTAAGAACCCTGTTGTTAATTCCATCATAGCCCGATGTTTTACCTAAAGTAAGCGTTTTGTAGTATTGACTCTACATCGGTAGCTTGCGTAACAATTGAATCTAATTTATGAGGTGAAAGCTCTTCTTCCTCGATAATCTATGTAGGGTTTTCATCTAATACTGTTTGATCACGGAAATAGTTGTTAAGAATATCAGCTTTACAATGTACATTTTCCAATAGATCGTCACCGTCTTGCAACGGTGGTATTGTTGAATAGTCATTTCATGTTTTATAGAAGATTTTAGACAAGACAACCAAGACATAGTTGACCTAGATGTAGTTTGAAGGTTTGCAGCAAGTTTTTGGATGTGATCATCTTTAGTCTTTATTATATCTGAAATTGATTGATCTAAATTTTGTCCAGTCAGCTGCATTGTTTGTTCGTTTCGTTTTTCTGCATGCTCTGCGTCTATGTCGTATTTGGAATTTTATGTGTGATGTTATCCATGAAAGGTCCCTTGGACGAACTGTTATTTGTTTATTTGAATACAAGATTTCGAACATTTAAAATGACATCAGAAATATTATTGGCATATGTATCAATGTTTGTGTCCTTCAGTTCTTCCCAGTTGACAGCTGCAGCTTTCTCTCTAAGATGCTGTAAACCTTTGTCAAAAAGCCAGATATGTGGTTTAAAAGACGCCATCTTATGTTTCTTAAGAGTAAGAAAACCATATACAGGGCAGGCAATGATAACGTATTGTTTGATCTAAACAAGGGTCACTTACTCCTGAGTAAATAATGAGAGAAGGATTTGATGTAATTAAAAGATCAATGAGAGAATATGAATGTTCTGTAAAGTGAGTTTGGTCTTGTATGCATTGAGAGAGAGAGAATTGTTGACAAAAGGTTTTTATGTTTGTTGCTAAGACTCTGGATTTTGCATGTTTATATTGAAATCACCAGTTATGATGATATCCTTAATGCCTATATCCACAGCAAAATGTATCGAGTCCTCAATACAACTGTGTCTGTAAGCTGTTGCATTGGGAGGTCTGTAGAATACTCCAAAAAGTATGTGTCTCGTAGCTGTTACAAGTTCAATCCAGATAGACTCGACACCAGGGATTTCTAGATCATGTCGACGCTCGTAGTGAATATTATGTTTTACATATAAGAGTACACTACCATGGCTGTCACCAAGCCTGTCTCTTGTTATATATGCAACTTATTACATGTATATAATTTATATATGACCAGTTGGTATTTCCAATATTATCATTGTTCTATTTTTAGAACATAAATTACATGTATGTACTAGAACGTTCTTAACTATTGTAGAAAACTCATGCATTATATTTAGATAGAAAATTTCTGGAATGATCTTTATTGGTGAAGTTGCTAGATTATGATTACTGTAGTAAATGGAAGACTATTCTAGACACTTCTTAGTTAATATATATAGATTGACATTTTTCATTACCTTTTCCTTTTAAGTCATCAGTGATCTTTTAGAAATCAATATATTTGGAGTATTATTCAACTTGGATATAAAGTGATTTATTGGAGCTTGGATTTTAAAATAAATTATTCTTGTGGATTTTATTGTGGGAATTTATTCTAAAGTGTTCTTGGATTTAACTTGGATTTAACTGAGCTATTGAAAAAGGATCATTCCAGGATCAGACTAGACATTTGTAATTTTTATTTGGACTTCAGGTATCTTTGTAAAGATAATTTGTTATTTTATTTTTCTTTAGTAATTTTTCTGTAATAAATTTGTTATTGTTACAAGTTTGTTGCTGGCTTTTCTTTCTCGTTACGCCTGGCTCGTAACAGAAATTGGGGGCTCGTCCGGGATTGAATATTTCTTTTTGGCTACATTATTGGAAATTATTACCGTTTATTTTACATTTTATTATTACCGTATTTACTCATTTGAGTTGATATCATAGTTGTTCTATTAAGTGTGCCTTTCAATTCTGAATTTTTTTTTACACTTTAAAACCAGCAGCAAGCAGTCATGTCTTTTGATTTAGAAAAGTTTGTAGCTGAGCCTTCCCAGGAGTTATTAGATTTGGCTAAGAAAACTGATTTGCTTGATCATGCAAAAAAGTATAATTTATCAGAAATTAAATCTTCAATGCGTAAACAAGAAATTAAAAATCTTCTGATTCATTATTTTGTGGATGAAGATATTTTTGGACAAGATGCACTTTCTCACATTATTGAAAAACACTCTGAAATTTCTGAAATAAAAATAAAAGAGCTTGAAATTCAATTTAAATTTGAACTAAAGAAAATGAAATTAGAAAAAGAAAGGGAAGAAAGGCAGTTACTGTTAGAAAAAGAAAGGGAAGAAAGGCAGTTACAGTTAGAAAAAGAAAGGGAAGAAAAAGAAAGGGAAAGGCAGTTTGAAAAAGAAAGAGAAGAAAGAGAATTTCAGTTAAGAATGAGAGAATTAGAAATCAAAGAGAGAGCAAATCAGTTTGAACATAGAATAAATTCAAAATTTGATGTCACTAAAAATATTAGGCTTGTACCACCTTTCCAAGAAAAAGAAGTTGATAAGTATTTTCTTCATTTTGAAAAGGTTGCTGAAAATTTAAAATGGCCAAGAGAGCACTGGACATTACTTTTACAGATCGTCTTAACTGGTAAAATATGAAAAACAAGATCAACAAGGTAAGGCGGCGTTCAATGAACGCAACCCCCATATGACCCAGCAACAAGAACCAAT